TATGTGCATTCACATGTTTACACAAAGACAACACCCACACAGATGCATAATTAAAAATTATTTTAAAAATCATTTTCTTGCTGGGAGGTGGTGGTATACACCTTTAATTCCAGCACTCGGGAGGCAGAAGCAGGCAGATCTCTGTGAATTCAAAGGCAGGTCTACAAGAGCTAGTTCCAGGGCAGGATCCAAGGCTACAGAGAAACCCTGTCGAAAAACAAATATTCATCTTCTAAAAATTTGTAATTCAACATTAAAAAATAAAGTGTAGTTCAGTTTCCCCTCATTTGAAACTGGATTTTTTTTCTTTTGGTGACAGGGTCTCTATAGCCTAGGCTGGCCTCAAACTTGTTTAGTAGGCTAGGATGACCAATAGTGAATTTCTGATTCTTTGTCTAGCTACCTTCCAAGTGTCCTGTGTCAATATGCCAGGCTTACGCAGTGTTGGGGATCAAACCCAGGGTCTCCTGCATGCTAAGTAGGCACATCCCAGCCCTGAAATGATGGACTTACTTATGAGGGATTCCTTTGCCTTTTCTCAAAAGAGAAGACTTGCCTCTCTTTTTCAACACCTTGTCTCTGTATAGCCACCCCATGCCCTTCATCTTTGGACATTCTACACACCAGTTTTCCCTTTGTCTTCAGTTTCTGCCTCCATCTTCTTTGCCCTCGGCGTTCGAGAGCCACCCTAGCTCCTTTGGCACTCGTCACACACACTGCCTTCCAGGAACTCCTCATGGCTTGTGCCCTGCACTTCCTCCCTGCTTATGTGACTCGGCCACACTCCCTCTGCTCACTCTGCTCTGGCCTTCCACAGCGCCTCACCTTCACCCAAGCTCCCCGAGAGCTCACCTACTCAGTTTCTGCTCATTCTTCAAAGTTCAGCCCAGAACCCGACTTACCCAGACTCTGATAGGCTGTCAAGGTAGTCTAGCGAATACTTTTAGTAGTTATTCAACCATAATTAAATAAAATAGGGACTCCGTGTCTGTCTCCCTAACCTTCCAGGGCAGATACACGTCTGCAGCAAGTTTAATTTCCCTCATGTTTAGAATTGCCATGTATACTTGAATAAAATAATAAAATACATTACTAGCCAAGCCTCCCCATAGAAGCAAAATCTCTTCCCATTACTTTACCTCATTCTTCCCCCCTTGGTGGTGGTGGATACTGAACCTCAAACCCAGGGCTTGCACTGGCTAGGCAAGTGTTCTACTGTTAGATTTTTTTTTTTAAGTGAAGGTCTCATTATGTAGCCTTGGCTGGCCTAGATCTCACTATATAGACCAGGCTGGTCTCAAAGTCAGAAAGCTTCCAAAATACTGGGATTAAAAACGTGCCACCACACCCACCCACACTTTTAAAGTGTTTCCATGAAGCCAACTCAAACTTTAAAAATGTTTCTACTATCTAATCTACATGGGAAGTAGAAAAAGACAAGATTTCCTGAGTAAATTGGGAGCATGGGGACCCTGGGAGAGGGTTGAAGAGAAGGGGAGAGGCAGGGAGGGGAGCAGAGAAAAATGTAGAGCTCAATAAGAATCAATAAAATTAAAAAAAAAAGTTTCCTACTAAGTCAGGCATGGTGTCACATGCTAATAATTTTAGCACTGGGGAGATGGAAAGAGGACCTGGAGTTCAGGGTCATCCTCAGCTACGTCTCAAGTCTGAGGTCAACCTGGGCTACCTTAGACACTGGAAAAACAACAAAAAGGTTTTGAGACAGGGTTTCCTCTGTAGCTTTGAGGCCTGTCCTGGAACTAGCTCTTGTAGACCAGGCTGGCCTCGAACTCAGAGATCGGCCAGCCTCTGCCTCCCCGAGTGCTGGGATTAAAGGCGTGCGCCATCACTGCCTGGCTCAAAAAGGTACTTCTACTGTCTGAACTTCTCCAGTCTGCTGACATCAAGTCACGAGGATTACTTTAAGTCACCAACAGATTGCCAAATCAAACGACCCATCTTTTGTCTTCTTCTAAAGAAAATCTGAGGCAGCTGGTACTATCTTCTCATCCAAGTGACTTACTTCCTCCTCGTATTGCAAATATTAAATCACAGACCTTCTGGTAACGCCAACACTGGTCTCGTATCCTTTAAATACTGTTTTCTTGAGATTTTGTCTCTCTTAGTTCCTCATTGTTTTTTCCCTGAATAATCTTTGTCATAGACTTTATGCCTATGTCTAAGGCAAAAAATAAATACATTGTTACGACATCTGAATCGCCTACCCTGCTGATATGGTTTATCTTATTTTCCAAGCAGAACAATTTACCTTGATTTTTCCTAGTCTCTTCATCACGAAGTCATTCAATCAATCTCGTCATGTTTAATATCTAAAACTTTATGGCTTGCATTTCTGACTTGGACTGTTACCATAAACTGATCAGTTACTTTCCTTTATTAAAAACACTCTATTTTAAGCTTCAAACATCTTAGTTTTGCATAAAAGACTGTTTAATCCACTTCGTTTATTTCTCACTTTCCAGTCTCTCAACACACACTTCATTTCATGAGAACTGGATTTTGTTCAAGTAGAGACTCCAGTTTAATAACTCAAGCGGTCGTTTCACTCTGTCCACCTTAGTTTCATGAGAAGCCACTTTGGAGACATAATGACGGAAGGAGACAAGCTGTTCCAAATGGCAGCGAATGACAATGGCCCCGCACAACTTGGGAGGAAAATAAATCTATCCCGAGGCCAGGGACCCTATAGAACAGAATCAGAAAATACTTTCCCTGCTACCCCTACCCCTTCAAAACACAATTCTGAGCCTACCGGACAGCCCAGCCCTTCCCTCGTCTACAACATTAGCGAGGCCTCTATTGCCACTGCCCCGCCCCCTCCTTCACCCTCGAATAAATCCTCCCACGGAAACCTTTCCCAACTGTGAGCTTCAGGCCACTAGGACCTCAAAGCCATAGACTCTGTCAACCCGGACCCCCCACACCACTCTGTGACCCATGACCCCCTTCTTCAGTCAGCTCTTACTGTCCAGATAATGTTCCAAATACATCCCAGCAGCCATCTTGAAGCAAAACAAAGCAACTTCCGATCCGCCCCGGAAGTGACTAAAACAAGACAGGCACTGGATCCATTCTCAGATTACAGCCTTTTCCTATTTAAAAGAACTTCCGCCCTTACTAAAATACTGCCCCAGAGACATCCGCCCGACATTGAACGATCGCCCACAGCGAGGCTGCTTTAGGCTGCTTCCGCCCTTAAGACGCCAGCACGTTACACAGACAGGTATGACATCACGCGAGGTCGCCATTTTGCATTTCCTAGCAAACTTTTCTCCCCTTCAAACAAGCATGTTTGATAAATGGGGAAGAAACAGCTCTGTCTAGAATTATATTCTATAAACACCCCCTTTCAGCCAGTAGGGAACCTAGCTATTTTGCTTTGCTTATTTTGAATTTGGTAATGAAAGCTGAAGCAGGTATGATCTCTGAGGCAAATACTTTCTTCCGAAGTTGTCAGACTTTGTAAAGGATTTCCTTATGTAGCCCTGGCCATCTTCAAACTCAGGTATCTGCCTGTCTCTCTGCCTTGCGAATGCTGGGATTAAAGGCGTTTGCCACCACACCTAGCTAAGGTTCCTGTTTTATATACTCAACATACTTTTACATAGAACACAACACGCACTGGTTTTGCAGTTGTGCTGTTAACGGGAGATCCCACGTTTTTGTTTTGTATTTTATGTATGATGTTAACATGATTCTAAAAGAACTGGGTCATTAAGTTTTATGACAGCTAGACCACGTAGACGTCACCCATCCCCTTGTTAAAACTAGCATCCATTGTACAAAAGCCAGAGCCTGGCAGGCTGCTACCTTAGGGAAACAAACTCAAATCCCATAATGTAATAGTGGCGGTAGATTCTTCAAGATAGTTGTCACCTCTAGTTCATGCGTCTTTCACAGTAATTACACCACACAGCCATTTTTTTTTTAGAATAAAATTTTAGCTGCCTTAGAGCAAATATGTAAAAAAAAAAAAATGGTGGCTCACTACCGAGCAGATGCTAACGCACAGGAGTAGGATGTGGACTCCATTCTAATTACAAGAGCATGCTGTTGGGATAACTGAAGCTCTGCCCACTCCTCTCTATACAGTGAGTAGCAGTAGGCAACATTATCACTGGGTGGGAGTGGGAATGGACATTCACCCACAAAGGTACTTATTCCCATTGTTGTGATGAAAACAGGGCCGACAGAGACTCAGCAGTCAGCGAGAGAAGGAAAAGCATCAAGAAGCTAAGCAACAATGGCACGCTGAGAACTGTCCTAGAGGCCTAGTCACAAGCTGAGTGGAACTCCCTTCTCCACAGCACTAGGTAATGACTGTGGGTCAGTTCTCAGGTCTGAGAACTTCTGTCAGCTTTCTCAGTACTGTATCAAAGACTTAATCTTCATGAAGCCGTCTTGGAAATTAGGCCGAATCCGTTCATGGTAGACTGTGAGGAGTCTTAGGTTTCTTGGTCATGCTGTCCAGTACACCTGTCTTCCACTGTGAGGCGAGCATAACCACTGTGTTATGGAAGCTCACTGCATTTTGCATTCTCTTCAGTCCTAAGCCCAGGAGCTGGCTATGGGTTCCTTCACTGGAAACCTCTGGTCTTAGGCACTGCAAGTCTAATGACACACAAGTGTGTGTACACATGCCCAGTAGAATTTGGACAATAGGGAAGGCACAATTAGTGCAGGTCCTTTGAAGAGGCCATACTTCCCCCACCCCACTCCTTTTTTTTGATGGTGTGGAGGACAAAGGGTAAGGAATATAAGCTGTTTTGTTAAACAAAACCTTGCTCTCACATATGTAGGCAATGCAATCCCGATGACAGAATTTATACACAAATGTTCCTAAACTTAAAATGGCTGGAGACTCACATGGAGGCTTATCACACAAGCATTCATTCTTCACACATTCGCTTCCGTCCTTAATGCTGTCCTCGTATCTCCCCAGTCTTTTCCCATGCTAGCTTACATCAGTAGCTCACTGCTCTCATCCTTAAACATCAATTTATTTCTATACAATGTTCTAAAAACACCCCTTAGTTTGTACATAAGATTTTTTCATTTTTAAATTGCTTTATAACAACTGTATAATTCCTGATTATTTTAATTCTTTTCTCTGAAATCTGCCGTGATTAAAAAAATTAAAAGGTAAAAGAAAATTTAAATGCCATGGCCAGAGGACAAAGTGGAGAAAAATAAGACAAAAATAAAACATCAATATGAAAATTCTCAGAGATAATGCATTTATAAACACAGAAATGGTTACAACAAAGATGGCCGTGATGAGCAGGTATATATATATATATATACTTATATATATATATTTATATATAAATCCATGTCCGGCATCTGACCGTGGCACCTAGGGAGCTAAGTCCAGTCCTTGTGTATGCCCTGACTTCTCCCTTCTCTGCAATACCCTGGCTGGGGTTTTACAGAGACCATAGCTCCCATAGCTCCTTGGACTGGTGTGGTGAGGCAAAGTATATAGGCCCTTGGTTGGCAGAGAAGGAGGCTGCAAGGAAAAATCATAACCCACACTCTTATAACCACCCTTGGTCACCTGGAGAGTCTCTGGCACCTTGGTGACCATGTATTGCCTACTGGCCTCCTTACAAATAAAAAGGTAGTCACCACCCAATATGAAGTGAGACCATGTAAGGGAAAAAAAATGGCTCACAGGAGTCAGGCCACGTGCAAAACCTGTTCTTTTACAGGTAAACGTAGAACGGAAGGTTGGTTGCATTTAGAGCTTCCTTCTGTATTATCTGGGAGGACCAGCCGCTAGCCTTCTATCGGCCCCAACTTTGAGGATGAGAAGAGAGGAAGGTAAGTGCCCACACTGGACAAGATGTGAGGCCAGAGCAGATCCTCTCTCAAGCACCAACCCCCAGTCTTAAAGCTCTGCTTGGATGGGGCTGTTGGATAACACTATCAGCTCAGGATCCCTTTGTCAATCAGGAGCAGCTGGGATTAAGGATGGTTATCTTGCGAAGGAAGCCATGCCTGAGGACCAAGGAGCTGGAGACAGGACTTGTCAAGGAAGAAGAGAACTTTCCCACCAAGAGGAGTTGACAAAGGAGGGACCAGAACTTCTTCTCCCTCTTTCCAGTGGTTGGCAGTACGGATCTCTAAGAGCTGGCCAGGTGCTCCACCTGGATGGTGCTGGTGGTGACAGTGAGGCAGATGTCTTTATGATGCTCTGCCGTCTTATAGGGGGTCAGGTCAAAGGAACACTGGGGTGGAGGGTTCGGGTTGCTGTCCCCACCACCCCCACCCTGGGGAGCTCCCCCAGGTGACTGGAAGTGTGGTGGTTGTGGTGGTGGAGGCTGTTGTTGCTGCTGCTGCTGCTGTGATGCCTGGGAAGCCTGGGCCTGGGCCTGAGCCTGGGCCTGAGCTTGGGCCTGGGCCTGAGCCTGGGCCACTGCTGCCGCCGCCGCTGCTGCTTGCACTTGTTGTTGAAGATCAGGAGGGTTGTGTTTGCGCATGTGTTTCATAAGATATGTTTCCTGAGAAAGATGGCAAAAAGAAGTTAAAATGAAAGGAAGGGAAAGACATGAACTGCAACTACCACCATGCACCCTCACTCTGTCATATCTATAAAGGGATGCTCTGGAGCTGGCCGGACCCTCACTGTCATGTCTATAAAGGGATGCTCTGGAGCTGGATCTTTAAAAATCACCATGGACACCGCTTGGTAGAGAAAGTTATTTTTCTCAAAGGTCTCCTAGTAAAGCCATTTGATAATCTTGTTCTAGAATCTCATAAAAAATACCCGAAACCTTTCTTCATCACAAAACCTTGCCTTATATGTCCAGAATAAAGAATCACTGCTTATGGTGCTAGTTATCTCTAAATACTGACTCTAATAAGTGAGAGCCGGGGCAAGCACATGTGGAGCTATTCATAAAAGATTTCCATCAAGAAGGGACACAGACATGGGAAGAGAAAATACCAAGCACTTACCGATGTGTATGCCCGACTACAGATTGTGCAGGTATACACCTTGGCGTGCTTCACCGTATGTGTAGATAAGTGAGCCTCTAGTGAGGCTGCATCTGTGTACGCTCGGTGACAATTGTGGCACTTGAAGGGTTTGTCTTTGTTGTGCTGCCTTCTGTGAGACTGCAAACAAATGAGAGAAACCAAAATGAATACTGTTCCTTCCTTGGCCTTTATGGAGAGAGAGCCCTAAGGTAAGCACAGGATATCCTAGCTTCCCCTTCTATAAGGCAGTAGAGCTGCTTTGAATGAAACTGCCAAGGGAGGAACTGTATCTCACAAGGCATCAACCAAGGTCCTAAAAGTTACAGTGACTTACACCTACCTGGTCTCCCTCTTCCAGTGGCTCTTAAAGTGAGGTTTGGGATTCCCCGACCCTTTATAGGGCCTCACAGAATAAAAACTCTTCAAAATAATAAGACAAGGACCAAGGAGAAGGGTCAGCAGGTGGAGTGTTTGCTGTGCATTAAGAACCCTACTTGAGATCCTAAGTATCCATGGAAGAGCTGGATGTGATGGGGTGCTGTGCAGGGGGAGGAATGAGGTTCCCAAAGGTTTACTGGTCTAGGCAACTATGGTGAACTCTAGCTGTGGTAAAGGAAAGTCTCAAGAAGGTACAGACCTTCAAGTGTTACCTATGCTCATGCACAAATAACCATGACATATCCACACACGTAAAATACAAGTGTTTGCCTTTGCACTCTTGTTCTTTCATGTTATAGACTATCAGATGAAAGAACATGTTCACTTTTAGCCACGCAACAGATTGAAACTTGCAAAAATCCTGAGCATAACAGCACATAATCCTAGCACTTAAAAGGCTGAAGAGTTAGGATGGTAGGTCCCAACGCCAGCCTGAGTTACACAACACACCATTTAAGTATAAAAAAATCAGGTGGGCGGTGGTGGCACAAGTCTTTAATCCCAGCACTTGGGAGGCAGAGGCAGGTTAATCTCTGTGGGTTTGAGAACAGCCTGGTCTACAGAGTGAATTCCAGGAGAGGCTCCAAAGCTACACAGAGATACCCTGTCTTGAAAAACTAAAGCCAAACCAAACCAAAAACAACAACAACAACAAAAAAAAAATCACAAGGGTTGGGTATGTTGCTCAGTGGTAGAGGTGCTTGCCTAGAGTGGGCTGTGGAAAAGAAAACTTGTAAAATGTGAAATAATATCATTTTCCCATGAAGTTCCTTTAGTGGGATTTGGGAATAATTGTGTTCTATTAATGCTAACATGTAATTGGCTTATATATTGTGCTTTTTTGTTTTCTGAGAGGTTTTATGGGCTCAGGTTATCACTGGATTTTAAACATTTTTATGTGCATATTTGTAGAGACGCCTGGGCAGTTAGAAGGAACTGGGTTCCCTGGAGTTGGAGTTATATGCTGTAGAACAATCCTCTTGTACAGTATGAATATGTATTACTCTCAATGGCTAGTAAAAGCTGATTGGCCAACAGACAGGCAAAAAATATAGGCTTGGTGATCAAATTGAGGATACAGGAAGAAAGAAGAGTGGAGTTAGAAAGTCAATGGGGGATAGAGAAGTAATGAATGGGCCATGCTCTTGTTGTAGAGTGTAAATAAATATGGGTTGATTTAAAATGTAGAAGCTAATTAGTAATAAGCCTGAGCTATTGGCCAAGAATTTATAATTAATATAAGCCTCTGTGTGGCAATTTCGAAGTGGCTCCTGGGACAGGAAAATGCTGCCTACAGTTATGGGTAAGTGATGGTAAAGCTACCTGACATGGGTACAAACCCAGGTCCTCTGCAAAACAGCAAATACTCTTAACTGCTGAGCCATTTCTCTAGACCCTCATTTTTTGTTTCTTCTGTCTATGTAGTCCAGAGTAGATTCGTTCCAGGCACATGCCACCCAAGCCACCCAAGGGTTTTGTGTTAAAATGTGGTATGTACTAGAGCCTGAACCTACTACAGCCTAGGCAGCATTGTCAGTGAGTTACAAAACCAATCTTTGTTTCCTTTAAATTCAATTAGTGTGTGTGTAACTGCCATGGCACACAGGTAGAAGATAACGGGCAACTTTTACAAGATATTCTCTCCTTCCACTGGTGGCTCTAGGGGTCTAACTCAGGCTTGCATGGCAAGTACGTTTAACTACTGAGCCATCTCACAAGCCCCTAGTTCTTCAAAAAATTTCTGGGTGTATGTTCAGGTATACATGCATGTGGAGGCCAGTGACAACTTTGGAATCATTACTCAGGAGCCACCCACCTTGTTTTCTCAGACATGGTCTCTCATTGGTCTGGGGCTAGCCAATTTGGTTAAGTTGGCTGGTTGGAGAGCTCCAAAGAGCTGCCTTTGTCCACTTTCCCACTGCTGGGATAACAAGCACATACCAAAACTACTGGTTTTTGTTTTTTGAAAGTAGGTTCTAGGGATCAATTTCACACCTTCATGTTTGTGGCAAGCACTTTATTATCTGTTGGGGAGCTAACTCCCCAACCCCTTTATTTTATTTTTAAATTGAGACACTATTATTAAGTTGCCAGAACTATTCTGAACACATTTTGTACCATAGCCAGGCTTTGAACTTTGAATACTCTGCCTTTGCTTTCCAAACAGCTGGGATCAAAGGCTAGCAGGCCCAGCTTCATCTCAGTAATTTTAAAGAGAATTTAGTTCTCCGCCAAATGTCAGTCCCAAGTCTTAAATCCAAGATCGTTTGTGGAAACCAGATACTCACCTGCAGATTGGAGAGTTGTGTAAAGGCCTTCTCACAGCCTGGGTGTGCACATTTGTACGGCCTATCACCGGTGTGGATTCTGCACAGAAGAGAGTAAGGACGTCAGCAAAGGTCACAAAGACCAGCTCTGCACCAGACCACAGGCTCTTCAGGTTTGCCCCCTGAGGAACCTGCATGAGGCACTAGCTTTAGCTCCTCTGACCTGGAGTGGTTTTAGTGCCTGATTTCTGGTTATTGCCTATAACACTCAGCTCAAGGAGAGCCTCATTGTGCTGGTAGAAGAGGGACTGAGCCTCAGCATCTAGGACACAGGTCATGATTTGGTACTTATATCTGCTCCTATAGTAACCATCCCGTGGTGAATATTCAGAAATAAAAAGTAACTACAATTGTAAGAAAAATACACAACATTTCCTCCTTGGTCCCCACCCTACAGACAGAAACTGTCCCTTCAACCTTGAGCATCATAGTCAGAGATAGTTCTGAAATCAAAATACAGGTTATAATGACTGTTGAAAGTAGAAGAGACATTAGTGGAAACTCATGGAAATTCCTAGGGATTCCCCACCCCCCCACCCCCCTGCAATCTAAGCCCCTAATGACAGGAAATCCAGAAGTCAGAATCAATCTAACCTCTTCCCCAACACCACAGGGCCCTATATCTACTAAGACAAGCCCAGATGTGAGGATGCACCAATATCTGTTTCTTTTCAAGGACTTCAGAACTGTCTCTACGATCAAAGTCTCAAATATACGATGACAGCAAACTCCTCAAGGCAGTGTCTGACCACTTTTGGGTAAGAACATCACATCCACAAGAAGCAGGGTGAAGATAGCCAACTGCCAGGAGTCTGGACTCCACTTTGTCTTGAGACATCACTGAAGGAAACCATCAGCTCTTTGAGTGTCAGACCCCCTTCTCCTTAGAGATTCCGTATTGATGGATTTGATAAAGCATCCTATTTATGCAGCAGGAGCTTCTTTAGTCTGTTCCCAGTTCTTGTTGAATGTTTAGTTCAGTTTCCTTTTGTGCTCTACTCTTGGCAGCCCTTGGAATCTTGCTTGTTGCTGTTGAGTGTATCCAGGCCGATGCCAACTTAAATCTGATCATATCTCCCACTCATAACTCGTGTCTTGAGGCTAGAGGTAGGTCTTCTAAAACCAAATGTCTCTGTTTCAGCACCAAAGAAGAAATCTGGTAAGATGTGTGCTTGGTATTTTCAGGGAGGAAAGTGCAGGAAATCGTCTTCTTTGTTTCGAGTTTCTCTCTGTCTTTAATCAATCAAGAATACAATCACTGTGTCTTTTTGATAGTTTGTGCTCCAGAAAGGTTCTCTTGGCCTCCACTTCTTTTCTGTTGCGGTCATATTCTCCTCCAGCCAGGTCTCACTCCCGCCCCCCGCATGCGGGTGGTTGTATGTGTCCAGGGCGGGGGTGGGGAGGGCATGCCAGCGGGGCGGGACCAGTAGCCCGCCCCTCTCCCTTACCGTGTGTGCTGCTGGAGGTGGGAGAGCTGGCGGAAGGCCTTCTGGCAGTAGGAACAGTTGTAGGGCTTGGCCCCCGAGTGGATACGGAGGTGCTGAGCCAGGTAGGAGGTGTTGGCGAAGGTCTTGGAGCAGTGTGGGCACTTGTGGGGCTTGATGGTCTCCGTGTGCATCTTGGAGTGGATCCTGCCGGAGAGGAGAGGAGGGAAGGGGGGAGGAGGAAGCAGTTCGACACCACGGGCTCAGCGCTCTGCTGGGTGAAATGATGTTGCTTGACGGATGAGAGCACCCCCTCCTCCCTCCTCCCAATAAAGCTCCGGCTGGAGAGGCTAATGAAGAGGACACCCACATCTAGGTTGTTGCTGACTGCAAGTCGGTGGCTAGAATGGCAGTGAGATGATGAAGAGCTGCAACCCACGGCTCTCAGTAACCTTACAGTATTCGGTCTTGTCAACCCTCGGCCTTTTCCTAAGGCTGCACACTCACCACAGTTACCCTGTTTCCAAATAGCAATTTGAACATAGGCCAATACCGCCTGTTCCCCTGGACCTGAAGTTGAATGCACACCAAGGCTCTGAACTGAAGCATATAGTAAAAGCAGGGTCTGCTCTGTAGAGGATTTCCAAACAGACACAGAGAGAAACCACAAAAATCGTTCCAGAGTTGGGGACTGGAAATAACAATTTTCAAGGCCCCCCACTGCTAGGATACAGTTTAATTTTCAGACAGTAACAAGAGACATTAAGATTTCAAAAGGCAAAAGAGAGAACAGTTGGCACAGGCCACATGGTCTTGGGTGTTTTGTAGCCAGGTGAGGGGAGGAGCAACCTTACCGGGTGTGCTGCTGCAGATGGGAGAGCTGGCGGAAGGATTTCTCACAGAAGTTACAACTATAGGGCTTGGCCCCCGAATGGATACGGATGTGCTGGGCCAGGTAGGAGCTGTTGGCGAAGGTCTTGGAGCAGTGCGGGCACTTGTGGGGCTTGGTCTCGGTGTGTGACTTGGAGTGGATCTGCATCTCCGACTTTGAGTAGAAGGTCAGTGAGCACATCCGGCACCTGGCCAAGCAAGGGTAACATTAGAGCCTTTCCACCAGGAGGCGCTGCTGAGCCTCACAATCCTGCCAAGAGACTTCTACCTGACCCCATGTCGTGTTCCAACTACATAGTGAGGCTTGTAGAAGCTTTTCCTTATTCCTATTTTCTTTTCTTTTCAAAGAAAGGGTCTCATGCAGCTCAAGCTGGCCTTGAAATCATTATGTAGCTCAGGCTGGCCTTCAACTCATGACCCTCTTATTTCTTACCTCCCCAAACTGGGATTATAGCTATGTGCCTCCATGCCCAGCCGAACACAGTGCCAAGCACTCAGAAATACCCAATAAGACAGGTAGATATTATGATCTGGGTGAATATGTATCTGTGGTTCTCAACCTTCCTAATGCTGTGGTCCTTTAATACAGTTCCTCATACTGTGGTATCTTCCAACCATAAAATTATTTCATTGCTACTTCATAACTGAAATTTTGCTACTGCTATGAATCGTAATGTAAATAACTGTTTTCCGATGGTCTTAGGCGACCCCTGTGAAAGGGTTGTTCGGGTTGTGTGACCCCCCCAGAGGGGACACAACCCAGAGGTTGGCATTCACTGATGTAGACTTTATTGGCACAGCTAAGGTTTCAAACCTTTCACGGTACTCCTAGCACTCCATGTTGGTCTCATGATATTCTCAAGCCCCTCCCCGCCATGCAATAAAGAAGGAAAACAGCATCTGCAGACAACCGTCTTCTTAGTGATTTTCCCTACTTCCTTATTATAGTGACTGCTAAAGAGATGGAAAGTACCAGAATTTCCTAATCCATATCTGGTCTCTATCTTGTAGCTGATGTTTCATTGATCACCTGCCTCTGCCCCCAGCCTCAAGCCAATCAAATGAGAACCACTTTTAAAACAAGCCAAGGTGGGGCTGGAGAGATGGCTCAGAGGTTAAGAGCACTGCCTGCTCTTCCAGAGGTCCTGAGTTCAATTCCCAGCAACCACATGGTGGCTCACAACCATCTGTAATGAGAACTGGCACCCCTTCTGGCTTGCGGGCACACATGGAAGAAATGCTGTACACCTAATTAAATAAATAAATATTTAAAAAAAAAAACAAGCCAAGGAAACGGTTAGTACTGGATTATAATCCTTAAATCTTAACAAGAATAAAAGAATTGAAAAGCAATGATCGCAATGCTACACCTTTCCTTTCTCTTAGCACATGAAGCCAAGGCTGGCACATCTAGGTGACATCAACAGCACCTGAATAGAATTTTACCGCTTCAGTGATCACCTGAACCAGTGGATCACTCCTGCTCTGACACTACACAACAGTATCAAATGAGCCACATCCCCTTAGACTTTACTGAGTAACAGTTATTTATACATGAGTTAGGAACAGCTTTGCCATGGCACACTATGAGTTAGCAGAAAAGGAGGTGGCCTGGAAGCCAGGCCACTAGGGTAAGCTGCTCTTCTCTTCACCTTATCTTTGTAAATCAAAGGGTATGGGATAATGATTCTTGCATTCTTTTCAGAAGAATTTTGAAAATAGCCAAGACTAAGACTAGAACAAATTCCCTCTGAGAAAATGGTATTGCTGTTGTGGTCTCTGTACTAATGCTTTCTCTAAAACTCTAGTAACTGATAACCAATTTTCATTCTCTACTTACTCTAAGTCTGAAGAAAAGACTCCCAGTTTATCAGTCATTGGCTATATATAGACTGAGACACCCAAACATTGCAGGAAAGATCATCATGGTCAAAAGTAAACGGTCAATGGGGAATCTAGATACCTGGGCTCTAATCCAACAGAGTTAGTTACAGGTTGCCTGTTAACCTAGACTGCAGTCTTCTATTCTTTAAAATAAAGATATTAATTTTGCCTCTAGAAGGGCCAGCAAGCACCCAGGACCACCAAAGGTAAGCTAAATGTTCTTTATTAATAAAATGGCATTATTGCTAACAGCCTCAGTTTTGATGGGTGAGCCAATGACAACACAAATATTTTATAAAGACTGCAGTTAACAATTGGACATAATTCCACTTATAAGACACAAGTGCAAAGTAAGTTCCTTAGATAACTAAAATTTTGCAGATTTTACAGTGTTGGGGCTTGAACCTAGGCCTTGCCACATACCAAGTGCTCTACTACTGAATTGTATCCTCGGCCCCAAGACATTTCAATTCAAGTATTAAATTTAATTAATATATTTTAATTCAAATCCCATCACCCTTGAAGTTCATTATGAAAAAGAAAATGATTCTGGTACTCGGGAGACTGAGGTAGGTCTGTGATGGGCTTGTATTCTAGCTTGAGCTACAGTGAAAGCCCTGTGTTGAAAAATCAGAAGAATATCTTCAAAGCTTTAATTAGAGAAGAATCTGAGAAACTTAACTGAAAATAGACTGGCAAACTGGGTACAATGGTACATGCCTGTAACCCCAGCACTCAAGAAATAGGAGGCAGGACAATCCAGAGTTCAAGGCTAGCCTGGGCTGCATGTGACCCTGTCTCAAAACAAAAGAAAAGACTGGCAACAGAATAACAAGTCTAAAAAGATCCTAGGGTCTAACGGCAATGCCAGTGACAATGGTCAGGAGGCCATCATGAGGCAGCTTGAGAATGACAGGACAGGGGAGGTACTTTCAAGCACCTTTGTTTCTACTCAGAATAACCTGGCAGGTACTCTCCTAATTCTATAAAAAGAAACCCTCAAAGCTCCAAAAACAATTTATCAAAGGGCAAGCTATTCACTATAATACCACAATGTTAAGCTAACACCATGGCCTGGAACTAGAAATATACATGCAGAGGTTGAATATCTATCTACCAGGTGAAGGCACTGATCTCAGGTGACCATTAAAGTACAGGCTTTGCCTCCCTAATCCAAAAACCTAAAAATCTGAAATCCTCTAAAACTTCCTAAGCAGTGACATCACACTGTAAGTGGAAAATTCTATATGTTATTTTATGATACAGATGGAAGTCAAAACACACTCACTAAAAATACTATGTAAAATTACCATTAGACTACCTATATATAATTTGAAACAAATTAACGTCTTTCTCTTACTTAAAGCTTGAACATGATTTTACTAAAGTTTAAAAGAAAAACTGCAGGGAAGGCAAGCTTTAAAAAAGCTTGGCAGAGAGCCGGGCGGTGGTAGCGAACGCCTTTAATCCCAGCACTCGGGAGGCAGAGACAGGCGGATCTCTGGGAATTCGAGGCCAGCCTGGTCTACAAGAGCTAGTGCCAGGAGAAGGCACCAAAGCTAACAGAGAAACCCTGTCTCGAAAAAAAAAAAAAAAAAAAAAAGCTTGGCAGATGTCTAAAGGAGGAAGATTAAAAGAAGAAAGCCGTATCTTTGGAGTTAGGCATGAAGGTTCAGCTACAGGATGGTCTAGCTGTTACACGGGTCGGAGAAACTTCAGAGAAAGAGTGAGAAAGTCCAGAGTGTTAGGGAGAGCCCTCCTAGGCTTGAGCCACTATCTGGAGAGGAAATGTCACACCGACTAAGACCAGCTGACAGACCCAACATCCCACAGCAGCCCCACAGCAGCTAACTGGTTTTGGCTTGAGAGGCTATGTAGACCAGGCTGGCACTGAACTGATCCTCCTGCCTCAGTGTCCTGAGTACTGAGATTGCTGGTGTGCTCCAAGGTACCACATCCAGCTTAACAAATTTCCATGATCAGACTTGGGCGCCATCCCCAAGGTATCTCATTATGTATGTGCAAATATTCCAAATTTTGAAAAAAAAAAAAAAAAGTCTTGACCACTTCTCGACAAGGAATATTTAACCTGTGTTTAAAAACTGGAAGTTCTAGGAAGTCAAATAAGTACTTTACTGTAGGGTGCTGAGTAGTTAGCTGATTCAGGACAGTTTTGGCAGTGGAAAGGGAACGCTAGCCCGCACATCATTTGGTCCACTGCTTCAATGGACACTATGTACATCAGATACAGTGAGAATGGTATGCAATATAATGGCTGGGATTTAACAGTCACTTTGAATTATTATACCAGTTTTTTTCTAAGATGCTGAAAACAAATGTTCAGATTTCTCCTCAAAATATTTTCACACAGTAGATCTGACTGACCTTCCCATTTATGTAAATGGGAATAAAGACTTCGAGCTAAGTTGACTTGTCCATAGCAACAGCACCTAATTCCTCCAATACCCAGCCATGCTACTGACAACTGGGAAGAAGTAGTTGACGTACAATACACAAAAATCAGGATTATTTTTTTTTAAGTTCAATTGCACAGTAAGAAAGTCAGGATTCTTTGTGATTTGGAAGATTCCTTTGGATTTTAGAATTTTAAGTTTCTGATGGAATTTTTTCAACTAGGACATAATTAGTCAGAGTTCAACTTCAGGGTTCCCCTTAAGAAGTATAGGGGCGTTCAAGAATTTCAAAAACACTAAGGGCAGAAGGTCCTAGAAGGCGTCCTTCCAACTATGTACTCACAATTCTTTGTATACATATACATGTATATATATTCATACAGAGTTGGGGAACTTAGCATGGAGAAAAAAAATTAGCTTGGCAGAACTGAGGACCCTCGTCAACCAGAAGGGTTGCCTCCACTACTTCAACATGGTATATAAATGCATCTCATGTCACAATGACCTCACTTTAAGCAAATACATTAAAAAAAAATCCAGGTATCTACACAATCAAGTAATAAGGGATTTTCATTTCAACTGATATAATAAAAGAATGCCTTTAAGTGAATCAAACTTGTCAGGTACCTTTATAATATGGTATGATGTAAACATTTTCCAGGAACACTTATTGTATAAAGTGGGGTACACCTGTAATAATAAAGCTACAATGAACTTCCGAATTACAGCTGGAATTCTGCAGTGCTCAATATATTCTGCATAGCAACGCCGCCCTCTTTTTCACGTAGAAAGAGGTATTTAAACAGTGTACTTGTGGATACTTTCCATAGAACTATACAATTCAAGTAAATAATGCTACGTAATGATTAACTCTAATCTTTCTGACCTTCCCAACATGTTAAAAATTATCTATACTCCCAACAAATGGGAGGCATACAAAGAATTCTCCCCATTTTACAGATGAGGAAACTGAGGCGCAGAGAGGGGAAAAGGACTTGCCCAGGGTCACACAGCAAGTTCGTGGTGGAGCCGGGAACTGAATCCATGAGCCCAAGGCTCTGTCCATTTCCTGTGCCGCAGTTCCCTTCGCTCCTAAAATGGGAACAACATTGCCCATCTCGGTACACTAAGGACAGAACCAGTCTCCCAGCCATGCAAATCTGCCCCTGTCTATATACATCAAGGCTGTGATAATAATTAAACCCATTCTGCACATCAGGACCAAGTGTCCAAAACCCACTAGGGACTCTGAAAGTTCTCAGGGAGATTAAAGTTATTTCCCTTTCTAAGGGCAAGGAGTTTCTCTGTACACAGGGCCACGTGCCAGTATGCATGTGCTTTTGTGGAACAACAACGTGAGAGAAAGTGGAGGATCAAAATGACTTCCAGGAGTTAGAAAGGGAGCAGACAAGTCACTTCATAAGTGTGCTATTCCTCCCACCCCAAACCATGCAGGGGCTGATGGATTGCACAGGGGTTAGGTAAAATGCTTACCAGAAAGCTTTCTTGGAAAATAAGAAACAGAAAGGGAAAAAGGGGGAGCTGCAGACATTGTCTGGATCCCAGTTGGAAGCCTTATTGCAAGAGAGAAACTCCCCTGTCATTCAAAAATCAGTTAAGGATCATGACGTCTGAGTTTTAAAAGGAGGGTGGGCATGGAAGAAGGGGCTAAGCAGCTAAAGTGCCAGCAGCTCCACCTTCCTATCACAGGACACCTGGACATGCAAGTGGCTCTCAGGTGGACAGCTGCTGAGCAGAGCCTGACTTGGGACAGGACCCAAAGAAGATAGGGGAAGCTTGAAACAGTGGCCCTCAACCCATCCTGCCCCTGCTTTGATTCCTACCTGTAGGTCTTGCCATCTTTGTGATGGTCATCGTCGTCATCAGGGGCAAGGACATAAGGGTCATTCATCTCAGGAAGCCCTGATTCCAGCATCCGCTTCTTCTTTCGGCCCCGAGGAGGTTTAGGAGGAGCCACATTGCCACCTCCACCACCACCTCCGCCTCCTTCCTCAGCTAGGGTTGATGCTACCTTCTTGGAGAGGTCAGGGACCACCTGTAGGGCTTGTGAGCCAGGGGGAAGAGCTGAGACAATCATGGGAGCCGATATAGGGAAGGTCTGAGATGATGACGCTGTGGTCACAAGAGAGCCTGAGGGGGATGTGATTACCAAACCAGGACCTAGGATTGGGAGAAAAAGGAGATAGGGTCATGCTGTTCACCTCTGACCTAATCTATTTCATTTCCCCCAGATAGTGTCTAATCAATCCCTCACCACCACCCTCCAGCCCATTACTATTCAGGAAATCCCAAACCCTGTACAAAAATAATGGTTTGCTAACCCCTGTCCCCAGACCCCTGGAAACAGTGAGATTTACCCCTTGATTGACTCCCTTCTCTTCTCCACCTCTGAGAACAGGAGACTCCTTGATTCAGAGAAGGAAAGAATGTCACCTCCTCAAAGGCAGGGACCGCATCTTCTACTTCTTTGTATCCCCCACAATGCCTAGCACATTGCTAGGCACACAGTAGGCACTTAATAAAAATCTGATTGAGGAATTAAACACATACCCCACTCCCCATGTCCGCAGAGCCCTCCAGACTGGGGTCCTGATCATGAGAGATCAACACCTCAGATTGGAGAGAAGCAAGGGCGCTTACCCGCTGTCATCAGTCCTGTAGATGGCACAGGGACCACAGTAATGTTCTGGGTAACAGATGCCTGACTGTGTGGGGTCAGCTGCTCTGACTTGGACTCTGTGTCCATGCTAATGCCAGAGGACAGGGATACTGAGGCAGGCACTGTCAGCAAAGTGGGATAGTGAGGTGGCGCCAGTCCACAGCCCTTTTCTGGCAATAGCTGATCCTTCATCTTGTTGATGAACATTGTGTTTTCAATCTAAAAGAAAAGGAGGGGGAAGAGGAGTACCCTCTTCAGACTGAGCAGGCCTGGTTTTTGTCTGTTCCCTAAGGATGTTTCGTTGCCTTCTCCTTGGAGATCAGGGAACAAGGGGCTGATATCTGCGCTTCTGGACGGGAGTCAGACCCAGACACTACGGGACTCTCAATGATGGCGGACTCAGTGAAACAAGGTGTGTTTTACTTTGCTTCAGCCTCCATACAGTAAGAACATCATGAAGAACTTACTTCGCAGAGCTGAAATAAATACTGGGAAGAACAAAACAAACACCACTTACCTGCCCTGAGACTGTAGGGATAGAAGGCCAGAAGTACGGGTTAGAATTGAAGTGAGACTCTTCCATTCTACCTGAAAAGAGATAGACCACCACCTTACACCTGGGAATAACTACTGAATGCTAGTAAAGGAGAAGGGCAGTTGATGGAATTCGGGTCCTGGCACCTGAACATGTAGCGGGGAATTAACAGTCAGGACCTCACATCTAGACCAGACAGAATGGCACTGTGCTATAATCTCAGCACTCGGGACACTGCAGGCCGAGGCCAGTGTGACTACTTACTGAAACATTCTCTAAAAGCAATATATGAATAGAAGGGACCACTGAGCAATATGGCCCACCCCAAACACAATTTTTAATATTTATGACAAAATCTCTGAGCCACAAAATGTTTGCCAAACTTCAAAGGGCCAGAATTGGTACTTTACTTTGAAGAGAAACGAAGCTGTGAAAACGAGAGGCACCAAGGCCATACACAGCCCATCAGTCACGAGCTTGAAAACAGTCACGTTATCTTTCACTGTTTCCCCTTTCCTTAAATCCATTTTCCTCAATTTTTTTTCCTATTTCCAATCAACAAATCTATGAGCTACAATTCTACATAGCTTGGAAAGGTTTTAGGCTGGCAGAAACCCAAACAATCTGAACAGCCCAAGCTGGCATCAAACTGGTGATCTTCCTACTTTAGCCTCCCGTCTATCTAGGATTACAGGTCGGCATGCACCACCACACCTGGCCTATAATCAATAGATGATACCTGGGATAACGCCACACAAATCTCACCAAGACTAAAGAATAGGGTGTCTCACTGGGTTACATACACGAAGGGCTGAGCAGAAAGAACCAAGGAATTACCAGTCTAAAAAATTATAAAGGAATATGTATATGTACACACACACACACACACACACACACACACACACACACACACACAGAGTGTGTACTCGCATGTGCAGGTGCCGTTGGAGGCCAGAAGAGAGAATTGGATCTAGAGTTATAGGTGGTTGTGAGCCACGCAATAAAGTACTGGGAACTGAACGTGGATCCACTAGAAGACAGCACTCTTCAAACACAGACCACCAGTTTTAAAAAGGGGTTCTGGCCAAGTGTGGTGGTGCATGCCTTTAATCCCTGCACTTAAAAGGGGAGATTTCCAGTTAGCTTCAGGTTAGTCAGGGCTAAATAGTGAGGCCCTGAAAGAGTTCTGGGGTCTGAAGAGATAGACCAGCAGGTAAGGGTTAAGAACACTTGCTGTTCCAGCCATCACCCTCTTCTGGCCTCTGCAAGGACCCTAAATGCATATGCGCATACATACATGCAAACACATGTACTCTCATGTACAAATAATAAAATGAGCCAGGTGGTGACGGAGCACGCCTTTTATCCCAGCATTTGGAAGGCAGAGGCAGCCAGATCTCTAAGTTCGAGGTCAGCCTGGTCTACAGAGTGAGTTCCAAGACTACATAGAAACCTTTTCTCGGGAAAGGAAAGATGGATGGATGGATGGATGGATGGATGGATGGATGGATGGACGGACGATAGACAGATAGATTAGATAGAATAAGGTGAAAAATCAAGAGGGTTGGAGAGATAGCTCAGCAAGCATGAGGAGCTGAGTGTGGATCTCCAAAACCCACAAAAATTACAGGTGGGTAGTGGTCCAGGTCCACCTGTAACCCTAGCACTCATGAGCTGGAGTCAGGGACTGCCTGGGCAGCCAGACCATCAGAAGGAGTAATTCTGGGTTCAACCAAGAGACCCTGCCTCAATTTATATGGTGGAGAGTGATCCAGGAAGACACTCCAACTCATCACAGACACACAAAGACACACACACACACACACACCTCATGGTATGCATGCATATGCACACACATATATACAATAAATAACTGGGCTGCTCAGAAGGCAGAAGCAGACAGACCTTTGCAAGTTTCAAGGAACAGAAAAAGGAACAACAGGAATAAACACTGCCACCAAAGAATAAACATTTTAAAGAGAAGAAAATGTCAATTACCCTAATTTGATTGTTAGAATCCATGTATCAAATTATCACATTGTCCTCCATAAATACGTCCAATTAGTAAGTGTCAATTAAAAAACAACAAAAGACACTGTGCTGAGTCAAGAGCAACCAGCTTTCAGGAGAGGAGGGGCTGTGAGCAGAAGCTGAGCTGCTTCCAGTGAGGGCATGCTGGGGATGACAGCAGACACCAGCCTCAAGGGAGACAGAAGCCAGTATGCCAACTCCAGAGAGTGGGAAAGACTTCCAACAAACAAGTCCAGGCAGGAAAAGTAGTGAGTTTTTTTCTTAAGACAGGATCTCCATGTAATCCGGGCTGATCTGAAACTTGAAATGTAGGCCAGGTTGGCCTAGAATTCAGATTTACCTGCCTCTGCCTCCTGAATGTTGGAATAAAAAGTGTGTGCCACCATACCCACCTTTCTCTGATTTTTAATAATTTTAAGGCTTTATTTTTACTTATGTGTATAAATACTTGCTTGAACATATGTGTGCATCATGTGCATGCAGTGGCCTCAGAGGCCAATCCCCTTGGGACTAGAGTTACAGCTGGTTTTAAGCTGCCATAGGGGTGCTGGAAATCAAACCCAGGTCCTCTGAAAGAGCAGCCAGTGCTCTTAACTGCTGGGCGATCTCTCTAGTCTAACCCCCTCCACAACCTGAGACAGGGTTTCTCTGTGTAACCCTGGCTGTCTTGGTACTCACCCTCTAGACCAGGCTGGCCTTGAAGTGAGAGAGTACACCCATCTCCCTTTTCAACTTTTAATTAAAAAACAAAAACAAAACTTTTGAGACAGAATCTGATGTAGTAGTCCAGGCTGGCCTGGAACTCACCAACAATCTTCCTGTCCTAACATCCTAAGAGCTAGAATTAACAGACATGAGCCACCATGACTGGTTCAGCATACGGACTATTCTAGTAGGCAGCATCCTCAGTTTTCCCTAACTTCCTATCCTCATGTTTACATTGAGTACAGGCACACACAGGTCACAGTGCACAAGTGGAGGCCACAGACAACCTGTGAGAGTCAGTTCTCTCCTACAGAAATCCGTCACCAGAGTTGGTAGCAAGAGCTTTGCTCTCTAAGCTCAAATCCACACAAGGAATGAACTGTACTTCAGCCAAGGAAAGGAATGCACCAAATCTGTTGCTGACAGCTTCACACAAGTAAGGATCAATACTAAATGACCAAGCAACTCCAGGTAAATCTGATCCTGAGTTACAAAAGTCACTCTAGGCATCCCTAAGGGATTGGTTCCAAGACTCTTTCCCAACGGACACCAAAAGTACACATTCAAGTCCCTTTAAAGTATTTAAAATTTCATTTCTGGGGGGCTGGAGAGATGGCTCAGGGGTTAAGAGCATTGCCTGTTCTTCCAAAGGTCCTGAGTTCAATTCCCAGCAACTACATGGTGGCTCACAACCATCTGAAATGAGATTTGATGCTCTCTTCTGGCCTACAGGCAGACACACAGACAGAATATTGTATACATAATAAATAAATAAATAAATGAATAAAATTTCATTTCTGTCTAAGTGTGCATATGCATTCACATGCATGCCACATGTATGAAGGTGAGGGGGTATCTTATGAGAGTTATTTCTCTCTTTCCATGATGGGAATCCCAGGTATTGAACTCAAGTTGTCAGACTTGGCAGCACATTTACATCCAATGAGCCATTCTTCAGTCCATTTTTTAAAATGACAGAGCTGGCTGGCGGACATTTCATCCCAGCGTCAGGCCTACCTCAAGCTCCTGGACCAGTTTGCAGAGTGAAGGGCCAGCAAATGTCTCGGAACTGCCCCTACTTGCTCCAGCAGCTGCTGTCTCGTGCCCTCCTTTTCTTAGCATGCTGGACTCTCCACCGTGGCACTCTTACCGTGCTTAGTTAAAGACAACTGTTCCTTACTGGAGTAAAGAGGAGCAGGTAGCCTTATCAACATGAGAAGGCCAGAATGCCCGTGAGGAGAGTGATGCTCAAACAGGCCAGCACCGCAGTGATTGCCACATAATAAAGCGGTTTAGATTGAGGATTTGGGGGAAAGAGGACATTTGACGAGGCTCTGACTGGGTCACTTGCTTTTAGGCTTCCTAGAACCCAGTACCTGAGAATTGAGAGTTGATTTTCTTTTGGTCCCTGGCCCTGTTCTTCCATAACTGCCCCATCCCTTCTGAACTCTGAGCTTAAAGGCTTAGATTGTACCAGATGTTGCAGGGGCCAAAGACAGCACAGAATAAACTGCCTTTTCCTAAGGAGCCCCCTCGAAAATGAGGAAGATGACAAGAAAGAGAAATGACTCCCACATGTTCTCTGACCTCCACATGTATACTATGGCATGCACATGCCCCTGCACTCACACACATCACACACACACAAAATAAACCAATATTGAAGACATGTATTGGTAACATCACATATACTTTAAACATCTCTACAGATTACTTATAACTACCACACAGAATGCAAATGTAACATACATGGCTGTTGTACCATATTCGTTAGGAATCAGTCCTAACAGTTCAGAAGAGACAATCATCTCAGGCAAACCCACACAGCACACCAGCAACAATGTAACACTTCTTATTCAATAGGGAGGCTAATCTGGCTAAACTTTTTTGGGGCAGTGATCATGTATTCTACACTGATGTCTTCTCACTGACCTTGACATCGCTCAAACATTACTTTGTACTGATTTGAATATAGTGGGCTGAGCTGCTGGAGAGAGAGCTCACAGGTTAAGAGTCCTGAGTTCAATTCCCAGTAACCACATGGTGGTTCATAACCATCCATAATGAGATCTGGTGCCCTCTTCTGGCATGTAGGTATAATGCTGGCAGAATACTGCCTACAAAATGAATATATAAATAAAAATAACTTTAAAAAATATAGTGGGCTCAATATGTATAAAATTTCAAAAAAGATACCAGAAGCTCAAACATTAATCATAACCTTTTTCTTTCTCCTCTTCCATTGAAGAAAAATAAAACAGAAGTTACTGGGAGTGGTTGTGCACACCTTTAATCCCAGCACTCGGGAGGCAGAGGC